TCTCCTCACACCTGCTCCTTGTCAGCTCGTTAGCCAGGCCTTTGTCTCATTCATCTATCTATACTCTCCCTCTGCTGTCACTCTTTGTTGGTTCCTTGTTGTTGCTGGTCCTGTCTTTGCTGTCCTCACATGCTGTTGTCCACCTACCTCGTCTCTCCCTGGCTCCTCGTGTTTGGTTTCCCCAGATGTCTCCTTAGTTCTGGTTTGCTTTTCATTATTAGTTGGATTTTTGGATTCCTGCCTTTGTTTACTGTTTTGGCCCCATTAAAACTCCTAGAAATGTCCTCAGTCTCTCTGCCTCTGCATTTGGGTCCTCCAAACCAAACCCAACCTTGACAATGGCATATAGTATATGTCCCATTACATCATTGTAAAAGTAATACATAGAAAAATAACAACAATAAAGGCATCATTACTACGTAGTTCTGATGGTTTAAGGGTAATTGGCTGCTTTATTATGTCAAGACAAAAGGGACTTGCTGTTATTGACAAAACCATGAGCTTTAATTTCACTATAAAATTCTGAAGGGGAATGTTTGTCACAGAGTTATTCTATGATTTGGTAATGGTGAGCACTGGGGCGAAAGCCAGGTTTTCTTATCTTTAGGCATTTAATCATAATTTCAAAAGAGACACTTTTATTTTCTATTTACTCAGATAACTTTTATCTGACAATAGATTTTGTAACTTCAACTAACATTCAAATATGGTGAAAAAGCAAACAAAAGCATAATCTTAGACATTTGTTGACGAGCAGTTTTTCACAGGTCTGCTTTTCATTTTTCAGGTAACTTAATGTGCATTTGTTATTTTCAAATGACATTGTGTATATCTGACTGAAAGGAAAATTAGGAGCTATTGCACTTCTCGTAATTGCCTATTGTCCTTGTCTAGTTGTCCCTTAAACAAAGAGTGAATATTCTATTTAAATATTACAAACTTTTGAAAGTAACTTTGATGGAGGGGCGTGTTGGTGGCTTAAAGATAATCACATCAAGAGCACAGAGCCTGACCTGTTTTTGCATTAGTAAGTTTCTGTTCAATGAAAGGCACTCAATTGGTAATTGTTGTCTTGCTTTCAGTGGGAATGTGAATAGCACTTCATTGATCGAGAGCAAAATGTTTTTAATGTTGTAGATGAGAATTCTGGATTGCCAGCTAATGGGAAGGTGGAGGCTCCCTGCAATCTGTTTTCAAGTCAAGTTCCAAATTGAAAATCTTTACAGACATAATTAAGGCTTATCTGAAAGGAATGTCAAACCTCTAGCTTTTTCTTTCTCTCACCTTGCCATTGTTATTGCTTAAAGCAACAATCACTATCATAACTGTCATTGCTTTGTGTAATTAATGTGTTATTCATCTTTATTTAATCTTGCCTAATGTCTATAACAGTGATGTTATGAGGTCCATTTACAATATGCAAAGGCATTTATTTTGGTCTCATCCCCACTGAGAGCTTCTCTTTGGTTAGGATGCAGGGTTCAGTGGATTTAGCATGTTGGTCAAGGGTATATGAGCAAATGGAGCTGCACTGGGGATCAAACCAAGGTCTCCGCACAAGGGGAATGTCCTGGTTTTTTTATAAGCATTCAGTGGTGCAAGGCCTTAAATGTATTATCTTTTTTTTTTAAGATGGTACAGTTTTCAGGGTACCATTCATTAATCACCATAATCTATTGTCTAAACCTTGGTTATTGTCTCAGTGCTTGTTTTTTGTTATATCCCTTAGGTATACCAGCATATACAAAGAAAAAGAAGTAAAACTTATAAAAATGAAAATGTATACAGTTCACAGAAAGTATGCATGGCTAATCTTTGACTAAAACACTTAGATTGATCTTACATGATTGATGCGCAATAATGCATAAACTGAGAGAAAAGAGAATGCAGGAAACAGATTGAAGCTGTGTTCCAACTGTGTCTGCACAATGACTAGAAATGAGGAACCTTCCCAGAGTTTGCTGTAGTTTATTGAATCTTTAGCACATAATCAAACAGCATTATATACACTCCACACTGGGTATGAATAAAATCTTTCATCCAGCAATCTCTGTTTTTCCCCCCTCTGAGCTGTGAGGCTATTGAAGTGTCTGTGTACTGAAGTTTTTATAGACTTCTTTGTTAACATGGATCTATCAACTTTATTACAATGTGTGTTACTTTGACACACGTCAAAAGGAATATAACTAAAGACTCTTGAAAAAATATTGTTAAAGCTTCACCCTTACCTCCAATATCTCTGTATGCTTGCTTATGATAAATGAACACTTAACAGTGTCAGCTGCAATAATTGCTGATGGAGTTTTTTCTCCTTAGTACAGTATCTTAAAAGCTGTGGAGGAGAGTAGGTCTCGTGTACTTGTGAATGTTACCGAGTTAGGACCGTTTTTGGTCTATTTACTAACTTTCTGAGGACCAACAGGTTCAGGACCTGAAAAAGAAAGATTATTAGTTGTTTTACACAAAAAGTTGATTTAACCCTTGCAGGGTCAGACTATTCCTGTGACCTTTTGTTTAGAACATAACCAGGGAATTATATTATTTGTCTACTTTTCATGTCAAACAATTTTTGCCTTGGGTTTGACCATATAGACATTGTACTGATATCTAAAGGAAGGAAATTGTTCCTTTAAAGTTTTCCTTCTCATTTTGTGGTATTCTATGTAATAAAAGAAATATTAAAAAAAAGTCAAAATCAAAGAAAAAGACATTTATTCGAAAAACTCACTAATTTATGCAAACCATAAGTATTCAAAGCATTCAAATACCTTGGGCATTTTTCCGTTATCTCACAAGAAAAACACAAACCACAAACAAATGTATTTTGGAAATATTTTATTGAAAAAAAAATGCTATTTTATATATAAAATCCCATTAAAATTGTTTTTAAATTCATATTTAATCATTTTTTGAAGGAAAAAAAAGGAGCTATCCCTTTTTGTTCTCTTGCTAGGGCATGCATGAGAATGTGTTGCGTATAATCACCCTGAGATCAAAGAAGTTTAAAGCATTTCCTTAAACTCAGCCAATTATTAAGAGTGCACAAAGTCCTATTTACATTTTATTAAATCATTAAAATTGATTTGTGTTATTCAAAATTATTCACAACTTTTTTTCTAATGTATAAAATCCATTTAAAACATTTATAACATAATTTTTTTGCAAGAAACTGCAATGTTAGTATGCATAACTATGGTGTGAAAGGCTACCACAGCCATTCCAACCTGTGCTTGTATTTGTGCTTCCAGTACACGTGAAAGCAGGAACCTGTGAGGTAATTGCTGCACACCGATGCTGCAACAAGAACAAGATCGAAGAAAGATCCCAGACTGTCAAATGCTCCTGCTTCCCTGGACAGGTGGCGGGAACAACAAGAGCAGCTCCATCTTGTGTAGACGGTATGCCAGACTTCTCATTACAAATCTAGCGATGATTCCAGAATGGCATGAGATTACAAATGTGTGACATAGTGCAAAGCTGTCTTACCTGTCAGTAAGGTTCAGTCAAGCATTTTGGTAATAATTTGTGCATGTGAAGTCTACTGCATAGAAGACAAAGTGTCCTTTGTTTGCTCTGTATGTTGATTGAGACTTCAGTTTTCTAAATGAAATCCCCTAGCAGTTCATTCACTAACCCCGTTGTCTGGTGCTGAGGCTGGAACAGACACGTCCATCAGAGCAGAAGGATGGCCAGGTCATTTAATATCATGTCAGCAGTGTCCTCAGTTACAGGTGAATCGATCCCCATCTTCTCCTTTTAGTGTAACTGCTCTGACCGGGCTTGATTTTTGACAGTTTTCTTCTCACTTTAGAAATGTCATGGGAAAGTGTTTTCCCCCTGTAGGCTTCTTCAAAGCAGCATAAGACCTTGACTGCATGTTTTCTCTCTCAACAGTGCACACAGTCACTCTTCTCACACCTGCTCACAACACTCACAATCCTGACATTCACACGTGTCTGTAATTCAGACATGAAAACACACTTGGGCAGGACTGACGGATCTCCATGGATGCCTGAAACCAAGATGTTCTATTTAATCCTTGAAATATACAGAGGTCAAATCAGCTTGTTGTTGCTCTACAGAGACTAGAACTGTGCTTTACTTCCATAGAAAATAAAACATAGGTACAATTAGTTTTAGTATAAAGGGTTTGTCTTTTTTGCATCTTTTGTTTTCATCACAGCATCAATAGTTGCACAGAAGTGGTGGTGCCAGATGCATCCCTGCATGGATGGAGAAGAGTGTAAAGTGCTACCAGATCTCAAAGGATGGAGCTGCAGTACAGGAAACAAAGTAAAGACAACAAAGGTGGGATTATTTTTTTACTCTGTTCATATTTAGTTAAATTACTTTTACGCTTTAGATGCCTTGCAAAAACTACAATGACATACAGCGTTCTCTAAGGGTTTAGGAAGTAAAAATATCCCCAACATATAATGGCCAAAGATAAAACCACTAATAAGCACTAACGGACAATGTATTGTTTTGTTTTTATTAACCTCAGATCAATGCAGTGGAGAGTGAGGGGAGACTGTGAGGTGTGGGTTGATCCTACTTGATACTATTGGCTTACAACTCAAGAAACATGGGAATTAACTTAATCTGTCTGTTTAGCTATAGCCATGGTTATAGTAGATGTCTAAATGTAATGCATTTACTGGTTTATTATATTTTATTAAAGATAAAAATTTGAGTCCAGGGATGGGGAGAAAAAGACTGGGGGGCCTACTGCACTCCCAGAGAGCCAGCTCCGCCGTTTAGTCCAATAGGCACCCCCGTTCCCTGAGAGCCCACATGGTGAGTGGGGGGCCCGCCAGTCGCACCACCATAGCCCGGGGGACAGGGACAGGCGGCAAGGCCTGCGAGCCAACCGTTCGCCAGGGCCAACACTACCACCCCCTAACCCGTCCATCAAACCTCCTGGCTGTACCAAGAAAAAAAAAAAAAGATAATGATTTGTTTGAAGAGTGAACATTTAGTTATGAGCATTTCTAAAGCAAGAGAAAAGTCCCTTTTGTCTGTGCAAAAAGCTTGGTTTATGCTTGAGGCGTCCACTAGGTCCTCACGGCCAAATTACATCATTTTGGGCTTCTACTCCCCTCCGTGAAGAAATTCGTTCCGCAAAGAGCCCATAGAAAAATCTGCTATTACGAGCGAGCAGCAGCTCCTGATGGTGATGGTTTGCAAATGTAAACATCTAGAGCAGAGGTCACAGATAAGCGGACCAGTGTCTGGATCTGGACACACCTGCTGGCTAATCAGGACCCAACCTGATTTAAAACATTTATGAATTGATGCATGTGGTCCGACGACAGTTTCTAACGTGACTTGCACTTCTTCTCCTGTCTATGTGGTAAACCCACCCAGTGCGTCCGGCACCAGGCTGTACATGATACAAATTAGCCAATGAGCTGTCAGTTTGGGTTGCGGCTGCAAGCTACTTTTAAACACAACAGGCAATGCTGTGGCAAGCCGGGCGATAGGAAAGATGGAAAAGATGATGAGAAAAAGAGATCAGAGAAAGTGTGGACTGCTGGAAGAAGCGCGGTGAACTGGTAAAAAGAATGGTGAAATGGCGTGTTCAAAGATGACCCTGCACATTTTGAGTATGTTTGGCTCAATCTGCTGCTGTGAAGCAGGTTGAGCCCGATGAACATAATCAAAATAAATATCGATCCAGGCTCAAGAATGAGCACCTTGATATGTGCTTGAGGCTTTGTCTCCATTCAAACCCAGGTTTAAAGGCTTGCAGGGCAGCATAAAGCCCACTTCTCCCATTAAGTCATAAAAAAGAAAGAGAAAAAACCCCCCAGTAATTTCAGGTGTTTTATAAAAAAAAAAGTGAATCAGGAAATTGTCTATATACCAAACTAAAAGAATAGTGTTCTCTACTTCAAATAAAATGGAAAAAAATAATATTTTTTTTATTTAAAAACTCAATGTATAACATGGATGCATAAACACCTGCATTTTATGTCAGTACTGAATGCTGTTTAAAGTAATGGATTATAATTAAAAATGTCTCCAGACCTTTACTGGTTGTTGATTTCCTTTATTCGGACCCAGCTGACTTTTAATTGATCACCCCAGATCTAGAGACATCTCATCATTTCTGAAACCCATAAATATTTGGATTAGCAACAGAGGGTAGAAAAACTCGAGGAAAGAAATGACAGCAGCTCTCGAACGGCATGAACAGACTATGATAAAGACTATGATAAATTATGATAAAGACGCAGTGACAGACGGCTCATTTTCCACAGTAATATCCATGCTTCAAGCAAAAGGAGCCTTTAACATTTAAACTAGGAAAAACAGCTCACTGCTATTGTTGATACAGTAGATGCACACCCATTCCCAACACATACAGGAGTTTACAAATTCTAACATGGAGTCATTTCATGAAAATCAATCTCACCTCTAAGGTTTGAGGAAATAAAATTCTGTCTTTCAACTGGCTATGACTCTGACTGACTTTTTAGAGAAGGAAAACGAGGCACTCAAGGAGAAAGCAAAACAAAATTTTACATGACACATGTTTGTTGAGTGGGATGTGTTCAGGGTGTTGGCAGAGTGCAGCAGGGCTAAAGCTAAACCGCTTCTCTAAATTAATAGAGGCTGTCAGGATGTATGTTCAGGTTTTTTTGGATGAACTGGACCAAAAGTAGATGGTAGGTGAGGGGGTGGGAGTGGTTGGGGGGGAAACATAGGACCCTTCCTCATCCATCATCGTCCACTGTTTGACTCGCCAAACGCCTGTAGTTGAGCCGCCTCATCCATTATTCATTGGTACAGGAGGCCTGGATGAAGCAGAGCTTTTTATTTTAGCCGGGTTAATAATTCATGCCCTCTGTTACAGCCATGGGAAAGCAGAAACAGAGGCACAGATGAGCAGGGGTCCAGGTGGCTAGTAGAACCCTTCAGAACCTCGACTCTTTTATTGATTAGGGAGTCAGCGGGGGTCGCTCCATGCTCATGGCCTTACTGCCTCCCACAGAGAGTCAGCAAGGGAAAGCTTGTGTTTGCCAGAGGGATGTACTTAAACTTCCTGGACACTTAACATCCTTCTGGGGAATGAACAGAAGGGCTGCCTGAAAACGGAGCTCACAGTCTCCAGTGTAATGCTGATGCTGTGCCTGTTTCTATGGAATCTTTCACTGAGATATAAATTCCAACCAATGAAAAGAGATAGATAGTTGAAGCCTTGAAAAAAAAAATCATATTCAGATAAAGGAGCAAAAGATGTTATTCTTCACCATTTAAATTTGGTGGAGAAAGGAGTGGAGAAAGGAGTTTAAAACAATTGGAACAAATGCTAAATGATGAAATTTCAAATAAAAACTTATCAGAGCTTCTGAAAGTTTAAAGCAGTAGTTGCAGGAAGAATAAAACCCTGGCTGGATTCTGCAGAGATTTTCTTAATTGCATTTGGTTGTCTTGCTTGTGGCATACTACTGTTAAATGCAGCATCTGAAGTATCTGGTGGCCTATCTGTTGGAATAATATCAGCAAATCCACAGTCCTGTTTCCAGTTTTCTATTGCAAAGAAAAACTCTACTGTAAATCGTCTTTCATTATACTTAAAAATCTGGAGTCAGTTTCTGCAGAGTTTGATATATTAAGCTCCTGTCTGGTATTTTGGCAACTCTCCAAGCCCACAGGATATGGGCACCAGCTGCAACAATAGGCAGGTACAGACTATAGATTGATAGATGCACAAACGGATGGTTTGAACTCTAGCGCTTCTATTACTAGCTTTGTCTTTATTTTTGCATGCAAAAGCAGAAGATTTGGGTGCAGTGAACATTTGAACCCTTTGAAATTTAAGCTTCAGTTAAGAGGCTCTTTAAAGATGACCTTAAATTAATTATTCTAAATGATTTGTTAGGTGATTATGTACAAAAACTTTAATCAGAATGAACTACTGTACACATTCCCTTCTCTTATACAGAAGAGCTATTAGTGGCTGTCTGTCAGTCAGGTTCAAATTAAGCCAGCTGTTATCCAAAGCCAGAGATAGTTCTATTAAAAACTTAAGTAAAGTTCTCCAAAATTACATACGCTGCAACCACAACCCTACATACGTTAAATTCACTCACTCCTTTTGTCATCAAAGCCACATGAAATAACTGCTGGTTGAATATCAAGATACCTTTGAGAATAACAAATACAGCCACATAGTCTGTGCTGTACTTTAGTTTTTGGGCTTTAGTTTTATTTTGATCACACAAACGTCTCCAAAGCCTCTAAAGATTCTGCTAAGTGCTTAAAAAAAAAATAAAAACAATGGGGGGTTTCAAAATAAAACTTGGAGACACAGTATGAATTAGATTATTTAAAAATAGGCTCTCTTTACTGTTTTTTTTTTTTTTTAGCATTTTTGTTTGCAGATAAATTGGAGCTCCTTAATGTGGTTTAAAATATAGATTTTTCACTTGAAAAGAAACTTGTCACTTTCAACATTTTCTTTATCTAGTAATGAAAATCAGTCCTTCCAGGTGTTTCTGAGTGGTGTTCAAAATGAATAAAAGCCAAACTGTTCTTTTGTTTCCTCTGATGAAGTCCTGCCAATAAATCAGACATTTTAACACCCTGTAGCTCCTGCCCGATAAACTGTTTGTTCCTTCCCTCTGTACATGTTCTAGGAGCAGCTAGTTTTATAGTCCTGCTGCTGGTAATGTGAAGAATTATAACCCCAGCAGCTCCTACATTTCACTTCCTATCAATCAGGGGACAGAGGGCAAAAGAGCCACACATACCTCCCACATGACAGGTGTTATGGAGCTTGTGGAGAATGTGTTAATGTTATTGATGGATAGATGTATGGAGGAAATGTTTTTCCAATACACTATGAAAACATGCCCTGTACCTGCTGAACAACAACAAATATGGAACATCTAACAGTCTCCAAAGACAGACTAAATATAGCCTCTTATCAACAAACAGCGCTAAATCTAAATAGAGTTAGAACGTTTTCTAAAGAGACAAAAATCTGACAGATCTGATCTGAAAGGCAATGGAAGACAAATGTTTACTACAAATAATTAAGGCAGCATTTAACATGACTAAGTAATAGTGTACGTTGTTATTTCGATTGCTCTGAAATAATGGTTAAGGCAGCTGTAATTCCATGTTTTGACATATACAACTTTTACATTTAGGTAATTGCATTAAATTAATGGAAAATAAAACTATGCTAAACCCACTGACAAATGCTGTAGGTCAAACACATAAATAATTTAGGTATAATTTGATACAATGGAAGACCAGCGGTTGTATAAATGATTCAATTTTCAAAGAGCTGGCAGGTCTGTAAGAAGCAGTAGAAGCCACAATTAAAACACTGAGTGCATGCATTAACTGCAGTGGCCAGAGTATCTAACTGTCAGTCAAACATTGGAACTGATCGTTAAAGCAACAATACAAGATCCGACCTCAGGAGCTGTGTATTGGAATCTATCAATACACTTAGCTTGGCACAAGAATCAATAGTCACTGTTGGATAACAGCATAATTATCTCTTTGTCTGGTCTTTGTTGGGTTATTATTTTCTTACATGCATATTTTCAGAATTCAAATTTCCAAATCTGAATTATGCAACTGTGTGACACTTAAGGAATTTCTTGCTTTATGACACCAGAATGTGTTCAGAATCAATTTACCTCCTCAAGTTCTTAATAAGTCGGATGATAAACTATACATTTCATTCTGGTGTATTGGAACAGGGATTTATCCAAAAGTGAGACATTGACTCTAGAGGACTAGATGAGACATTTTCTGTTTTCAATAGTCTATCATCCAGTTACTTGAGTACTTTTTGAAAAAAAAAATGACTGAAATAACTTTCTGCAGGCTGTATGGTGCCACAGTTTGTAGCTTTTTAGCCTTGCTGCAAAAAGGTCTGGGTTCAGTTGCTGACTTAGAGTCTTTCTGCATGGAGTTTACATGGTCTCCCTATGCATAGGTGGGTTCTCTCCGCATACTCTGGCTTCCTCCCACAGCCCAAAAAACATGACACTCAGGCTAATGTCTGTGCTGCCCTACTGTAGACTGGTCACCTAATAGTATATCTCAACTTTTGCCCATAGACTGCTGTAGGCAATATATGAGTAATACCTTAATACAGTATCACTTATCTTAATTGAGTAAAGTATATGGCTGCTCCATCCATTGTGGTTAACCTCACTGAATAAAGAACAAACCTGTTTTCATTTTAGAAACTCTAGCATGACATTTGGAGTCCAAACTAATATAAAGTAAGGAATAAATTTTGTTATTGATTATTTATATAATGTACACTACATTATTTTTTTGTATTGTTTTTATTATAGCCTTTAAAATGACAGAATTGTGCACTTAACTTTACATTTTGTCTGAATTAATTACATTATTATAAATATCAAATGAGTTAGTGCTTAAGTAGTCTTCTTACTAAATGGGTTTTCATTCTTGCCCAAGGGAAATTATGATGAAGTAGGGTTACTCTTCATTGAGGACAATTTTTGGGGAATTCTACCCACTTCTGCTATTCTCTGCTCGTGATATTGGTACCTCTAGATTAACCAGCTCCTGTTATGTCACTCTAGCTGTGTACAAAATTTTGTCCATGTCAAACTTATGTAGGTAATTGTCTTTGTACAGTAATCTATACGCGAAACTGGTTTTATACCAAATTTGGACTTACTTTCCACCATGATATCTTTAGTGTGTGTAGTGAGAAGTATCCCCCAATAAGACACACATGAATCCCTCAATGTTAACTTCCTAGATGGGTTTGATTTGATGCATTTCTGCTATACATGTGAAAAAGTATTTTCGAAATGCTCATAAAGTAAATATTTAATCTTTTTTGTGTTAGGGTAAAGTAGCCATGTTTGATAATGACAGACCTATGATAAAGAATGTTCAGATAAAGATTTAACCAAACCGAGGTAAAAGAATTTCCATGAAACAGATTTCTGCCTATTTTTTACACAGTTTCCATTACCTGCTGCTGCAACTGCAGTGAGATAAAATCATTTCCATATCCTCTCTCACACCATGATGCCTGAGGATTGTCGCATGGAAGTGAAAATTAAATTGTGGCTCCCCAAACAGTGAGCGCAGTGTCATTGGCGGCACCTGTAAACAGCATAAAATTATTCTTGTGTAGAAATTTGGATTGTTGTACTCAGAGTACTGATTGCTTGTGGCAATGGCATACAGATTTGACTGGTGACACCTCAGCAACTGCTTAATGAACAGCCATAATGTCCAAACACTCTCATAGGAACATCTTTTCTTCCTGCTGGTGTGTGTTGATTTATTGTGTTCTAAAGCTTCTATTTACAAAGGGCAACCCATAAGAAACAACTCAGCTGTGATCTGCTTATTTTTATAGCCTTTTGTGAAATGAAACATGTAAACAATCCTTTACTTATTTGAGCATTGTAGATTATTATTTATGAAAACTCCAGAGACCAGTTCTGCAGTATACCATATTTATGCAATGCATACTATTTCCTGTTTTTTAAAAGTCATTCACTATGAAGCAGATTGTATTAGAACTGACTTCTCTCTGCCATTTAGATTTTGCTATCTCACAGATGTTTGAATTATGAACATGCCAGCTGGGAATATGCATGCCTTGAACTTGCCACACATTTACCAGAGAGACATATGCTGATGGTAGCAGAGCATTAGATCAAGAGCTTGTTCTAATAGCAAACATGCAACATTAAGGTTTGATGACCATATTGCTTTAACAGTGTCTACATACACAAGATAATCCAGTAGTTTAATATCAGACTTTGGTTGGGGTGTAGGTAACAAACACTGGCGTGCACAGACATTTTTGGGGGCAGGTGCTCCCATTCAACAAACATGTGTCATGTAAAATTTTGTTTTGCTTTCTCCTTGAGTGCCTCGTTTTCCTTCTCTAAAAAGTCAGTCAGAGTCATAGCCAGTTGAAAGAGAGAATTTTATTTCCTCAAACCTTAGAGGCAAAAGGGCACCTTACACACTGCATGGAACCGTCAACAGCCAAACACTGTCTGATGCTGACGTTTACCAATCTTCCACAGTCCATATGTAGCAATGCCACATTGAACTAAGATTTACATTTAAAGTAAGAAAATACCCTACCCTATTATTTTATATCAAGTACATAATTTGTGATGTTATTTTAAGCTTTCACTGACAGACCATCTTATTTTCCTGCACAGATAAGGAACAAATATTTTATTATTATTTTTTTGCAGTCCAAGATGTCAGTCAATAAACACAGAAAATGAAAATGCAACTTCATCTGCATGCCCCACTTGAACGGAATAGAACCAAATTATGGTTATTTTTACAAATTGCGATCATTTGGCCTTGCTTTAAACAGACGAAAGGTAATTTGTTGTACTTTACTGTAGTTGTCATAAAAAACCACATTAGTCAAATACAGTAGCCATTTAAAATCAGCCCACTTTCCTTGATGGGCCCTTGGCCGGTCCCCTACAATTCCTTTTTAAACATCAATACTAATATAGTGCTAAATTGTACTAAAATGTTCTTTCTGTCATGATTTGTGGACATTAAGATCTAAAGAGAAGCATAATCTCCTGGTCAAATCTCGTAATTCGGTGAAAGGGTGGAGTCAGAGTAAAAAAAAATATGCAAGCGGGGGTCACTCCAGTGGGTGGAAGTCGGAAGGGATTTTGCTGGGAGTTGCAGGGAAATGGGCTGCCATTCGGCTGGCGTTTGAATGGGAAGGGCCATTTTGAATGGCTGCTACAGTAGATGTCGTCAGGGAGTCCCTGTCCCTGGCAGGGAACTTTATGGTATATCAACAATTACATCTATGAGATGCTTTAATTATTTATTTATTTAATCAAATAGTTGCATTTTAAACATTTTATTGTGGCCAGATAGATGCCATTGAAGATGTTATGCAATGAACTAACCGGTTGCTGAAGAAGGTGCAGTAAACATGTTTGTTTACTACAAAAATAGAAGAAGAAAACAAAAATGTTTTCTTCTTCTATTTCTTGTAGCGATTTCTTCTTGTAGCGATTACATTATATTTCCCCTTATGTAATACAGTTGTCCTTAAAAAAGATTATACAAAGCAGAACATTTTAAACCAAATAATATTTTTATCTTTTGATGACCAGGGTCATATATATTTTAGAAATAAACCCTGTCAGCCAACCTAAAAACTTTATTTCAGTTTAACTGTCTTTCCAACACCATTTTCCAGGTAGAGGTCATCTTAATTCATGAGATATTTTATAAAAACGAATAAATAACCAGTAGATCTGACCTGGGTGGCCAACAATAGCAATTTTCTTTCTTGCCTGTCTCGGATGTGATAAGAATGGCTCATAATTTAGCCTGTTTATTATTTATTTAGCCTTTTTTTTGGTCTGGATATCACCAAACAAACTAAAAGTATGTAAAGCTTTTTTTTTTTACATAAGTTTATTTGATCATGATTTCAGTTGGTAAATAAGGTGATCTGCCATTGGAAAAGGACTTTTGTATTTAAAATAAGAAAAGAAAAATCCCTTATACCTTGTTATAAACCGGCAATTGGCTTACTGATGAAAATTTGGCAAACAGCTATAATTATTGGACACCTCCAAAAGGGTAAAAAGAAAAGTCAATCGTAAATTTCGAAATATACATTGAATGATGACTTTTTTTCTAAAACAATTTAACATCCAACCCAAACAGATCTCCTAAAACATTATGCTCAATTTTTTTACATTAATGGTTAAAAAAACATATGTTTGCATTGTAACACATTTTGCTAGATTTGTTTTGTTTTTATGAAAACACCTGAGCAAAATGCAAAGAAAGGTCTTAGAACACAAAACCTCAATCCTGCGTTCTGAGTTTACTATTCAGCTTTTAATCAAGTTGCTGAACTGCTGTTAAAAGAAGAAAATGGCTTTTGTGTATGTGTCTTATATCACACCCTGACATATGATTTTCTCTCTCTTTGTTTCCAGGTTACCCGATAGTTGTATTTTTCCAGAACAAAGATATATGGACCCAAGATGTGTCTTTTACCATCACAGAAGGACATTTTGGATCCCAAGGAATTAATGGACTGGCAGAAACCAGGGACCAACACGGACATTAGTCTCAGACATTCCAGTGAATGAAAAGAGGGAATGTATGAGGAAACTCACATGAGACTACAGTCCCTAACAGATTCTTGACTTTTTGTCTAGCATCAACAGTAGCTTATTCTCTACTCTGCTGCCCACCAAATCTCTCTTTGTAATATACTTCTAATCCAATGGATTTCAAAACCCAACAATGATGTTATCTATTTATTGACTTTAAAAACTGGATAAGACAGTGAAAAAAATCACCCTCAAAACATGTGATGTGAAACTTTTGTGTCATGTTCTTGCTACAAGAAGCCCTGGGACTTTGGTGCATATCTCTGTGGAGGCTCTTGTGAGGTCATACGCATTTTAATTCCTTTTAGCCTTATGGAGGAGATGTCTCTTCTGTTTCCTTTTGTTCATTTGAAAAAGAAAAGCCTGATATTTCTTCTTTTAAACTTTATTAGGATGATTAGTCCACTTTGAAAAGACACGTGCAATAAAAACACCCAGAAATAAAAAAAAGTAATTAAAGGTCAACGTAGCTGTGTTCTGCAAAATGCTTAAATGGTATCTGTTATTTCAAAGCCTGGTGACTGCTATTCATTACAAATGTCAACATTATCTCAATAAATCTAACTCAATGAATATTGCTTTTTTTTTTTTTTTTTTAGAATAATTGCAGTCTGTGTTGTATTGTTGAATTGCAGGAGCTCAGCATGTTAAGCAAATGTTCAGGCAAATAAAACAGGGGGGAGGATCACTCGAAGATAATCAGGCTTGATCTCATGGTGGAACAGAAATGTGAAAATCAGCAAATACAGAAATAGGATGTGGACAAAGTAGAAAAGGGAAAATGCATCCTACCAGTTTTCCTCATATGAGCAGACTTTACAAGAATAGATTTCTTAAATCTATTCCATGGATACATTCATGCAGTAATGGTGCTTCCCCAATCTTTTGTTCCTGTTTTGTTTTTTACTCTTGAATGTTAAATATTCTTTGAATTTAAAAATCACACGAAGGTAATCTTAGTAAATTCAAATTTGAATTATGAAACTTTTATATTAAGCAACAAACGCTATCCCTTAGCAGTGTAGTTTATTGCTATAAAGGGAAAGTCTTAATGATCATCTATATATTTATTGCTAAAATTGTGCTAGATCTTTTAATTCTTTTTGGTAAGCAGTTATTCTTGCCTTGTTAGTGGGTATTATGCACAGTCTCATAATAAGGGTCAATTCTTAAAGGTATAGTGGAGGATCTTTATGAATAAAAAAAAAAAAAACTGCCCTCCCTTTACCCACTCCTGAGAGAAAACGCCTATTAAATGCATTCAAGAGTGTGCACAAGCCCATTTCACCTTGTGCAAGCTCTGTTTAAAAGTTGCTGTTTGCATCACTCATAAAAACTTGCTTTCCAAAAGAAGATGTGCAATTTTTCCACGTTAAACTCACAAACAGGTGTTATGCCAAGAAATACCAGTCTGCTGAGAATTACCTCTCCTTTCGCACAATGATGAGAAAACTGATAGAAATATGAATGAAAAGAGAACTTTAAAATATATTCTTAATATTCTTATATTTCTTATGCATGGATGCCTTAAAATTATGAGTTTTTGTTGGACGGATAAATGCAGAGAAATTCCTGCCCCTGACCAAAAAGCGTGAATTGCCCTAAAGTCTCACGTATTGAGAAAATGAATTGACATATGAACAAAAAGGGAACTTTTAAACATATTCCTAATGTTTTGTCAGAAATGATAGAATTGTGTTGATAGCAAAACCGAGAGATGCTATCTACTGAGTAGAGTAGACACTTACTGTAGCACATTGACTAAAAATTGTCTCCATACAAGTAAAATCTGACTTTATCTGTCCACCAAAACCCAGATTTTAGGGCATCCACATAAGAAACATGAAAACATTAAAAATATGTTTTAAAAAACATTTTCGTTGATATTAAAAGCCCTTCTTCACATCAGTGTGCAAGAGCCACGTGCAGCCACGTATTTCTCGGCATAGGGTTTGGTGAAAATGGGGATGAGCCTTATGTAAACATATCACCAGAATGACTGACATGTAGGAACACCACTTATTTTGATGACCTACATGTACCCAGAAAAAGAACATCCTCCCCTATACAGTACATTTAGAATAAGCTTTTGTGAACTCCTTGTTGTTAGTCTTTTTGAGTCATTGGGATAAGGGCAAACTCTTCAGCAAAGATCCAGCTGATTTTTATTTTTTTTAAAGGCTCAGAAAATCCTTTGTTAACCAAAGACTCATAGATCTCAATAGCTGTCATTTCATGCTGTGCTTGAATCGATTTACTGTAGATCAGTAAATGTTTTGTTGCAGTACCGAGGCCTGAGTGTGACTAAAGAAAGTAAACTTAGCTTTTCCAAAATGGTGGTTATTCACATTAAATTGTTATTAAATTAATGAGGTTATAAAATTAGATAAATTCTTATTTTATATATTTTTTTCACATTAAATGTATTATTTTATTATTTTTCTAATTAGGTCAGTTTGCTTTGTTTGCTTTCTACATATTGCTTGAAATGGCATTTTGAAAGACTGCCTTTTGTTATCCCAATAACCGTATTTGTTTTATGTTTAAGTTTTTGTTTTAATTGTTTTTAATTATGTGAAACATTATGTATATATATATATATACATACATATGTATATATATACATATGTATATATATACATACATATATACATACCAATAAGCTACCAATCACCTTATCCCAATTTTCAGCTGTTTTCGTCGTTCTGAATAATGTCCTTTAATGTAGTAGCACAATGTGGCATTAAACAAAGTAAAACCTTCTGATGGAGGTAGGCTGTGCTGTGTGATAGGAGGGTGGGAGATAATGCATGAATGGAACAGGATTATTAAGTCCTGGTGGCCTTGCCAACCCGCTGCATCAGTGGGATCCAAGGGCAAATCAAATGCCTGTCCATTCTTACGCATATAATGTGGCTACCATCATTATCAATATCAACATGAGGCTCCATTTCCTTCTCTGTGGAAACCAAGCTTGTTGGGAGCAAGGAAACGGTTGGGGAATTATTTATATTTCAGCAGCATGTCACAACCACCTTAGAGACAGGAAGTCACACTTTGAAAGAGGCAAGCCCTCTTGCTGATAAGAAAATACATGCAAATTTATACTTAAGCTGCCTTAGCAAGATAGAGGCCATCCAACCATCCATTTATAAATAGAAAATTCTGATAAATACGCTCTGATAAAGACAAGTGAAGGAACGGTGCTTCCTTTTATCACACTGGTGTCTTAACTTAAAAAAAAAAAAAAAAAAAACACTTTATGGTAAATTTTATAATTTGTAACTCAATTTTCCCTGTAATTGAAACAGCACATTCTCTATAATGTTTCTTATTCTAAACATAATTAATTAAGCTAAACGTAAAAGGCTTACCCCCAAAGATCCGAGCCATGGGACTGATGCTGACTGAGAGAAATGAGGGGAGTTGCTATGGTTAGCAATCCAGGTTGCGTCTTGTTTGGTTAGAAATCATTAAATTACAGTAATGACTAATTTCTCATTCCTGCTTGCAATTCGCCGGAGACCACCATGGATTTAATAAAGAGCTGGCGATGAATTACAAACAGCAAATGGCTGAGGAAAGGCTACGTGATTATGCAGAGTAATTCAAAAGTGCATTAATAAAACAATACAGAAACATTGCTAAATCATTTGAGATAAAGGCTATTTGCATAATTCATTAAGATTAATCAGACCAGGCAATCTACCACAGTGCTCTGAGGAGCAGCGAGGGGAGACATGATTCCTTTCCCCTGAAAAAAAAAATCTCTATCTACAAACAATGATACAAATCTACCCTTGGATCAGAGAATTAACCTCTGTTCACTTTACAGCCCCTGCAGTGTTGAAACACAATCCTTCAGTCATCCGCTTTAATGTGGGCTAATATTCTATTAATAATGAAAGATCTTTTCATACAGGAGCTCCTCTGGGTTCTGTTGCTCTGCCATAAAAGACCTTCAAAAAAGATGAATGGATTTTTGCATAAAGTTGGCTTCAAAATAAGAGAGGATCTGAGGTTTAGCATTATCTTTGTTCTTCTTTTAACTTGTGCTTGTCATTCTCAACAGTGGCTGAATTAGAGAGAGGTCACAGATCACAGAGTGCGTGTAAGTCAGAAGGTTACTGCTGTTGAAATTAAATTCATTCATATTCAGTTTTGGAAAACAACTTCCATTATCCGTGTTTAAAAACTTCACCTTATTGTGACAATGACTATAAATAAATTTTTGCATTTGAAAGAACTGATGGACTGTACAGTATAATGCCACAGATTTGTAGTAAATCTTTGAGGAAAAAGCCCAAATGAAACTTTAAGGATTTTACTCAAGGTTGTTTAAATCTTGAATTTATCCCACATTTCTGTAAAAGATTTTCGTGATTTATATGATAGCTGCAGAAGCAGACACCAGGTTGATGTAGTCTTAAACATAATTTAATTGTTTTACATCAAAATCTCTAACATGCATTCACATTCCCCATACAATGTAACATGTAACAGTATGCCCTCAAACACAGGTGCTTAACAAAGCTCATTTTAAAGTAATAAATATACAGTATATTTTTAAATGTGCTGGAAAAGTATTGAATTGTCTTTAAAAACGGTATCAATAATAATCACATATTACCAAGTTTACTAATATATATATTTGGATATGAACATAATGTAATAAAAAAAAAGTTAAAGGTGTATGTTACATGTCAATATAGACATTAAGCTGAGATAAATAAGACCAAACTCAATAAATCAGCTAATAAAAAATCGTTCCATTAAATCGACATGATTATTGTACCAAAGAGTCTTACACTATTGCTTTTGCTCTATTAATAAAGTCTAAACAAAAAGTTTGTTTATTCCAACCTAGAAGAAAATACAATTGCATTAATAGAACTGCTTACTAAATATGGCAGTGATGATCATGATGATTGGATTTAAATGTTAAAAATTTGGGGATCAGAAAGGTTTTTACTTTTGTAATGTGGATTTAAGAACTTAAACGACTTTTGACAAGCAAATAAGAAATTCTAATATGCTTCATAGTATGAAAAAAATAAAAGTCCTTTGCCAAGTCCATAGGCATATCGACATTAATGACAGGCCTAGTCTTATCTAAGTACAGTACATGTTAAATTAAAAAGTCGTTTTGAAAATCTTTCTGCCAATACATTCAACCTATATGGATTAATGCACTGGAAAACGAGCTAGAAATAAGTAAAATTTTCTTAAATTAAGTATATTTACCCTTACTTTGATTAGATAAATGAGATACTTTGGCAATGGAATGAGTATTTTCACTCCTAAAATAAGACAATTAGATAATATGCACTTGAAATAAGACAATACAATTGTTTTTTTCTTATTTTAAATGTAAATTGTAAATTCCATTGGCAAAATGTGACACTTTCCTCCTTAAATTCAAGAAAAAATGCACTTACTTTAAGAAAAAATGACTTATGTAGAATACATTTTTTGCAGTGTGGATACAGCAGAATACATTTTACTAGCCATTCCCTAAAAACAGCAGCTTTAATTTTGTTTAAAAGAAAAAAAATCCACTTATTTTTCCCTTATTAAAAGAAAATTGCATTTAAATCATCCTGCATATTAAACTTTTTTCTAGTATGTCTCCTGTTAATAGAATTATATTAAGTGTGATATAGTACAAGGGTTATTAGCTTATAGCAGATTTCATTTCACTTTTTACAGACTGATGCCTCCAAAGCTGTTGATTAAAACCCTCCCATGACTCCTTCCTGGAATGAATCCCCTAGTCGACTATCTCAAGCAGAAAATAATATTAGTAAAATGGTATTTTCTAGCTGCGGTCAGGGATGGGTTCACATCTTTCTGGAAAGAGATGACAATGACTCACCAATCCAGTTTTATTGCAAGGCCAATAATAGACAAAAAAAACATAAGCTTAAGCTCATCTTGCACCTGCAGGTTTCTGTATGTTATAAAAACTGTTAGACTGTTTGATTTCAAAGAATGCTAACAATCACAACCTATTTTATACTTATCAAACCACAAAACGTAGTATTAAAATATGTAAAAGGCATTTTTTTGGCATTAAATAAAATAATGACAGCTATAAATACTTTGAAATTTCAAGTCAAAGGGTCTAAGACTGCAAAATATTTACGCTGAAACACAAAATGCTCACTTACATAAACACCATCTGCTGGGTCTGCCAAGGCATCTTCTTGACAGGATGAATTACTCTGAAAAACTGTCAGATACACTGGGCAAAATTAGATTTTCTCATTTGATAATGAAAGCTGACAGAATGTAATGAAAAACCGCTCGATCTTACAAACAGCCAGATGAACTGTCGGTCTGTCTGGGAAAAAACTTTGCTGTTTGTATTTAATCTAATAAGGAGGTTCGTACTCTTAATATTCGAGTTACTTCTCTCACTTAAGCGGCCGTTTCTAATTCAGTTTTGGTGCAGAGTGAGGTGTTTTTTTGATGGCTGTTTGTATTTCACCAGTCAACTTAAAGGCAGTTTATTTTGAGGTGAGCTGTGCATCTTTGTGTGTGTGCACTGCTGTGACCCGAGGTATAATGGGATTATCCTGCTCAAGGCAAGACGTAGATGCCTTGAATTCTAATATCAAAGCCTTTCTCCATGTACCTGACACGTCCTCCTCTCTGTGTTTGTCATGCCTGACTGGACTAAGAGGCGATAAGCTTATGAATCACAACACAGCCAGCAAGCTGCTTTGGCAAATCAT